CCGGCCAGTGCAAGTAAAACGAGAAAGCAACACCAGCAGCTGGGGCCCGTCAGTCACAATTATACCAGCCAAAATTATGCGCATACTGTATAGGCTACGAAGCAGCAAACTGTACTCCGCGCTTCCCCTTTTGATTGACCGCGACAGACGCCGCGTGCTACCGGAGTGTGTCACGTGCCCATCCGGATGAGATTAGTGACGCGCGGACCGCAAAGTCACGCGACACACTTCGAGCTCTGGATTGGCTCCGGGAGCTCGTAGCTTCCGCTTAGGTTCATTGTAAAGGGACAGGGAGCCAAGGAATGGCGCAGCTGCGGCAGCTGGCCGTCGATGCCGATACCTGTCGATAGCGTTCGAAATCAGGGCTTGGCAGACGGGAAAAGCTCCTCGTTAATTAGTTTTTTTCCCCCTAATTCAAGTATATAATTTGTATCTTTTGAGGGATATTGGGCTACTCAAAAAACGCAAGCGAAAAAAAAAAAAAAGAAAAAAACCGCTGTTATCTTTTTTTTTTGCACTAAAGAGGAGCGTTATTTTCCCTTTCTTTCTACGTTTACAAAACTCTTTCTTGCGATAATTCTTTGGCTAAAACTACGTCTTAAAATCGTGTGTATATAAAGTACCGACTCACCAAGAGTTCAACTTGACCCTGCGAGGTCACATGACCATGTGACGTGATGTGACGCCACGGCGTCACATCACACAGAATCTATTCTATAGCTTTGTGGTAATGTTGCACAAATTAACCGACCACAATGGCGCCCAAGCGTGGTATGCTACCCACTCGCACGAATTTCACGGGGCTTCGTTTCTTCTTTCGGAAAGCCTTTTTCCCACTCCCTGTGTTTCCTGCGGTCACGTCCGCGTTTGTTGTATTGGTGTGTTTTTGACCGTTCGTTTCGTGACTGCGGCATTAGTTTTGCACGCTTGTGTTGGTTTCTGGGGGGGCGTTTCTTTTTTTTTTTTGTGCTTGCAGCCATGCTCACACGGGAGAAGGAAGCTCCAGTGGCCGCAGCGGCACAAATGAACCTGCTCAAAAGGTCACGGAGATGTGCAACTTCGTGATGCAGCGCATGGCCCTCACGCCTGGCCAGCAGGATACCCCACCGCAAGAGCCCCGACCACACTTGACTGTACCAGTCTACATGGGGTACGACGACGTTAAGTCTGCGGCAGACTTCCTGGGCGAGTTGCAGACGTACCACCTTGCCTCCGGTGCCTTGAAAGCCTTCATCATGGACCGCATTGTCCCGCTGGCGTTGCAAGCCAGCGAGAAGCTGGTTGGGGTTGCAGGCCCCGTTCACGAGCCTGGAGGACTTCCAGACGAGGCTTCGAGAAGAGTTCCTGCCTGCGAGCTACGCAACGCAGATTCTCCGAGAGCTCAAGGCAAGGACGCAGCACTTGGACGAAAGTCAGGACCGGTACGTTCGGGTCATGCAAGAGCTCTTGAAGAGGACGGACTCGAATACACCGGAGTCGGACAGAGTAGCTCGGATCAGAAGACAGCGTCACCCAAGATACCACGCCTCCCTCATGGCGCACTATGGCCCCGATGCTGCTGCGCTAAAAAAAACCCAAAACCAACCCTCATCAACCGTATCTTTGAGACCCTTGAAGAGCTAGCCCGGGGCGCCTGCTTCATCGAGGAAGCTCTTCGTGCTGAGCGGAACTACGTGCCGCCGCCATCAGCTAAGAACGCACTCAAACCAGCATGCCCCGAGGCCTCCACGCAAGTGGACTGTCCGAACGAGACCTCTCTTCCCCACCACATCAACCGGGAGAGTTGGCGTGACATGCATGGCGTTCTCCCATGCGGGATAAGCGGATGTTCGACTGACTCTCATCGAGAGGTCCCTGGAGGTCACAGCAGGGCCGGGGGTCACCACAACAGGTGGGAGGTCGTTGGCCGTGCCCTATCGCAAGTTGGGGCCCAACGGAGATCACTACCCAAGCGAACCATCTTCATCAGTGTGCTCCTGCAAGTGCTGGGAAAAACTGGCACACTGCGGTCTAAATCCCGCAGCCATGCAGCATTGACCCCCGCCGCAACGGAACAAGCCTTCCCCACAACAGCTAATTGCAAGCCTGGTAGAGGCCCTCCCATAGTGGTTCTTTACCCGATCACTGGAGGCGGGCACCTCGGTACGGGTGACCTAAGCAGGCAACTGTTGTCGGACTGCTGCTACGAGTGCGAGCAGCTTGGCCACCAACGAAACCAGTGTCCAAGACTTCTGGACACTACAAACAAGAGGTGGCAGGAGACGGCGGCAAGGGGCTGGAACCAGAACAACCAGGGAAACTACCATGACCGCCGACGCTGAAACCAGACAGCCACTGGCTGAAAGCAGTTACAGTCCCAGAGAGCAGTGAGGCCGCGACACAGATTCCATCGGAATGTCGAATCCAGCCCGAGCCTATCATCATTGAGCCGTGCATGACAATATCTTTGCTTGGTTTTCCTTTTGCCGCACTTTTAGATTCTGGGGCCGCTATCTCACTTAGAGGGGATTTCGTTTTCGAACACTGCAAAGCGGAAAAGATAAGACTCCGGGAATGCGAAACGCGATTACAGCTAGCTTCTCTGAAAAACTTCGAGAGGCCCGAAAAAATCTAGACGTCGCCCGAGTGCAGCAGTCGTAACAGTACAACCAGGGGCAACGTGACTTGCAGTTCGAGTTGTCGCAGTTTAATTGGGATACAGCTCATTTCATGCCGTGCAATTTATAAACGTTGTACCTTGTGCTAACGACTTGTGATCCAGATATGGGTTTACCCATATTGTGACAGGAGACCACTATCAACCTGGCAGCCCCTCTATGGACGTCACAGAGCCAGAGGCAAGTGCCAGTGCCGCAGCAGCTACAGGAGCAGCCCCGGATCCCCCACCGAGCAGACCGTACCTGCTCATGCAGCTGCTTCAAGCTGCAGCAGCGACAGGGTGACGGCTACTTACGATGAAGCCAGGCCGCCCAGAGGGAGGATGGTACTTCTAGAGCAGACTGTCTCAGCAGAGAATGATGTACGAAGTTCTCTGCTGAGGGCAGAGTCTGCCATCCGTATTAAACTCCTTGAGGAGGAGCACCTAATGAAGGTGGCAGGGCACCGCGTGCGGCTCCAGGTGGAGCAAACGAATTTAAAAGTTGCTCAGTGAAAGCCACAGTGTGGAAGCTCAGGGAGCTTCAACAGGGAGGCGAAAAATAAAAAAAAAGCAGTGCCAACGCCTCGACTTTTGAAGGAATCTAATTTATTTCATAGAAGTTGAAAGCTGGGGTTATATCCGGAAAGGGATAGGGTGCGATTTCAGCTTGTTTCATGTTAGGCATGCTTCGAGAAAATGCACGATTACATATTGGCTCCTACCTATCATCTATTATTATCATTTGGACTAGTAAAAAGCCATTGCACAGTCACTACAGCAAAGGGTTTTGCAATATTTTCACATTTTATTGGTGAATAAACAGGAATAAAGAAAACAGTAAAGGCATTTGCGAAATACACAACAAAATACTCATATACATATAAACATACCTCTAAATGATGCTTATAGGACAGTTTCATTGGACGCCGTGTTATTTACTCCAATACAATAAAGAAAAGCCACTTTCACGACAAAAGCTTTAAAGGGGCGATGGAACGATTTTCGTACTTCGTGCAGACACTGCTTAAAACAAATCCGCAAAGTTCATGAGCTATGAAACATGGTTGTGTTTTTAAACCCGTGCAATAAAAAACGCCGAAGAAAAATATTAAATAAATTGCAGCGTTTCTCCCTTTAACTTGCAGCCAGAAAAAGTGGCCAAGTGATCTGGAGACGATTATATGCCACCAATGTAAATCACAGTACAGGAGACGCGCCGAATTGCAAACATTGTTGGTTTGGATATTGTCGTCGTTGCAGCACTTGGACACGAGCCACTACCTGAATGATTGTCAAGCTTTTACCACGTGACCTAATCAAGTGCTCACGCAATACTATAGGGTCCAATCTGTGAGCCGCACTCAAATATTGTCACTGGGAGGGGGGACTACACCGACAATGCGACCCCTGAGCTTTTCTAGAGTTTTGTGAAGGAGCGATTGAAAGAAAACGCTTGCTTTTATCTGTGAAGTTACACTGCAACAAAAAATGTTTCTCGGTCAGCGGCATTGCATTCAAGTATACTTGGGTTCCTCGGGTGCCAGTAAGCTTGTGTAAAGTGAAAAACATTTTAACTGAATATTGTTCCACCGCCTCTTTAAGGCAAAGCTCGATGAGTCACCGCAGAAGGGAGCTTCTACTTCGAAAGAAGCTTCTCCTTGAAGCTTCTTTCGATTAGTCGCTCCCGTGTCTGTATGCCTTTGAGGGAGTCCTCCACAATGTTCGCGGGTGGCAGGTGGACTGGCCGCGTGGCCCTCCTCCTGGGTCTGCGTGCTTTAGGCACAACTGGCGGAGCTGGGGGAGGTGGAGGCTGTGGGTTATTCCTCAGGCAGGCCAGGTTGTGGAGTGCAGTGCAGGCTGTGATAATCTGCACGGCCCACCGTGGCTTGTGTTGCAGCCTCATGTCAAGGCAGGGGAAGCGCCGCTTCCAGGTGCCAAAAGCCCTTTCCACAGAGTTTCTCGTTTCGATGTGGGCTTTCTGGTACCTGATCGTGTGAGGAAATATCATGATTGGCTACTTAAATTATAATATTGCCTGTAGATCCTCTTCATATCTTTCTCTCTAGTAGCTCGATTTCAAAATGCTTCGGCACCTTTTACAACAACGCACTAGCCGCAGACAGCGACAAACAGGAGAAGCTTCGCTTCTCCCGCCTCCAGCATTAGCATCATACATTCGGTAACACTTTGGCATGTCGTGCACCACGTGCGTGCATGTGCAGCCAAAGCATGCCAGAAGGCATTGAACGTGCTCTGGAGGCAGGGCAGAAAGACTCCCTGCAGTTCTGACCGTGTCAGTGACTATAATCCTCAATAAGGGTAGATATTTGCGGAACTAATGTTGCAACACCCAGTATCTTACTTATTTTTCTCGTATATTATTGAACCATCGCAACTAGCGCACAAGTTCAGTAGTGTTACTACTGTCCTACATTTGTATATAATGTTTTCCTTGTCTCCACACATAGCCCTACATTTGCTCAGGCACTTGTAGGATTTACTTGCCTGCCTCGTGGTGTGTTGGCTGGACCGGTATCTGCCAGGGGGTATCATCAGGAAAAGGAAGCAGGCGTAGCCCATGTCCCCAAGCAGCGTCCCTGGTACCCGGCGTTCCTCCTACAGCACCCGCACACGGGAGTTGTCAAAAATCCGGCTCTCGTGTACCGACCCGAACCAGCTCACAACCAAGTCATAAAATTGCAGCTGGGGGCCGGTGACAGCCTGCAAGTAGATTGCGTTCAAATGAAACGTGAAGACATGAGTGAGAAAAATTACTGGCAATGGTCCCATCGAATGAAGCTGTCGTAATACTCGACAAATATTTTCATTACAAAAACTGCTCAAGTGATGTGTTCTCACAATGTCAATATGAACATTGCAAGCTGAATGTAATTTTGAATTGGAGAAGAAGCATGACCAGAAAAAAATGCTTAATATCAGCAAAGTGTGAGGTACACACTTGTAACAATTTACAGGTGTCACTCCCGTGTGTCAAAGTATATACACACAATTATCACAAATAATGAACACAGGTGTTTAGAAAATGGCTGCCTATAGTTCATTGCAAGACAAAAAGGTAGGGCGAGGGTAAGACGGGACTGGGAGTAGGAAGCTGACGGAACGCTGGAGAAGAGAGGGGGAAACCTCTTCTCTTTAGCCTTCCATCTGCTTCCTCCTCCCCGGCCCGTCTTACCCTCGCCCTACCTTCTTGAGTTGCAACAGACTATAACATATACCCAGCAGCCACAGTTAAATTTTGAAGATTTTAGTGCAATGTAATATCAACAATAAAAGAACTTCCTGACTTAATTTTCTTTTCTTTTTAGTTCATTAGGAGTGCTTGAGCACCATGCTAGTTTGAAGGTGGACTTTCTCCTACGCGAGCGGCTGAGCTGCGGCGAAGCGAGTCACAAGATCGTTGTGTCTGCTCCGTGGTTATTGATTCTCCGCAGTGGAGCCGTGCCTGAGAAGCGCACTCAAGGAGGCTAACCCGTCGCAATCAAAAATTCGAAAAGTATGAATACAGTATTGCAGTTCATTTGGAAGCGAATATTAAATAACGTATTATTTGAAACTACTATTAGAAAATTAGAATAGTCGTGCAGCCCTACTCTTCGTACATAGTACTTAGGCATCAAGAAAAAAAAAAAACTGTACTTTCTTAATTTTCAGTGGCATCACCAACCATGTCATGTGCCAGACGCTTTAGAGCAGCATGTAGCAGGTTACTCGTTCTGGCTCAGTTTGTCGCAATTGGCGCAGCAGTTCAACCACTGCATATAGCGAAGCAAAGGCGAGAGGGCTTCGACCACAAAAGTCTCAAGTTATACATGTGTAATGCTTGGGGCAGAATTGCCAAATTTCATGCAGTCGAACATGAGCGCATACTCCAATGAATGACATCTGGCAATCGCGCAAGCGTTGCTCTAACCTGATTTCAAGAGCTTTTAAACTCTAAATTCGGTAAACCGAGAACTCTGCACTCGTTACCTGGACGTTGATTGAGAAAACTTCCTTGCGGTTGCGGAACACCTCCGTGTCGTCGCCGCCGAGGCTCTTGATTCGCACGTGGGTGCAGTCGATGCACCCGGTGACGCCGGGGAATTTCGCAAGTGCGAAGAAATCGAGCATTACCGTGTTGTATTGGGCGGCGCTGGGAAAGTGAACGAGGTCCCGGAACAGGTGCCTCGCGATCAGCTGCGTAACCACTCCGACTGCGCGGCACACTGTTGATTGGGACAGTTTACAAGGTCCCCAGTCACAACCTGGAAGCTCCCGGCACCAAAAAAACCGCAGCGTGACCAGCAGTTGCAGCATGGGGGTCAGCGGAAGGCCCCTGCAGTCGGTGCTCGTTTGTAGCGGCAGCATCCCGAGCAGCTCTCGCACGATTCCCTTCGTAAAGCGGTACTGCGCCAGGAACTGCCCGTCGTTGTAGCGCTCCATCGGGTTTTCCCTATCCCGAATTTATGGTCGCGGGACTCGTGGCAAAGGAAACACGTCCCCGAAGACGATATTGCACGCCACACGTGTTGCGAATTTAAAGGCGGAGATCCTCTCTGCGACGTCGCTTCGCTAAGCCGCCATGTTGAAATGACTACGAAGTCGCGTTCAAGATTGGTCCAACCCAGTCTTGAAATTTGGGCTCTTCAAGTTCGCTTCAAGTTCGGTTCAAGATCGGCTCAAGTTAAGGTGAATTTATGAAGCGCGCTTGCTTGCTGCAAGATGGACTTGAACAAGTTGAAGCTCGACTTCAGAGCAAGTCAGATCTATGATTTAGGGGGTTACAGCTAGATCCTTTGGGATCTACCAAAGAGGCAGGCAGTTCTTAGACGGAGCTTTTGCAGCGTTCGTGCGTATGACACGTACTTTAATCGGCTTCCGGAACGACGACCGCGCGTTCGTTGGGCTACGGAGAGTGTTTCCTGCGCTTTGTACTCTGTGTCTGTGACAAACTTTGTTTAGACGGGCATTTAATGTCGTATCCTCGAGTACCTTCATTTTGTGCCCTCTTCGATGCCAGACTGACCAGGGAGTGGCAGGATTCGCGCTGAGTGTCACAACGAGCACAAAATCACAACCTTGAAGAGTTGCTCGTCTCAAGCGTGTTTCACATGCAGCGCCTAGAGCAGCGCGATTTCTGCCGTCGCGGCGCTCGTGCCGCTCAACCGGTGGTGCTGGCCAGAGCGCCGCGAAGGCAGAAATCGAGCCATTTTAGGGCCAAAACCGCTGCCTATGAAACACGCTTCACTTCGTGTAGCGCATGCAGCGAAAACAGAAACCAAAGCTAATTAAAACTTACAGTCCTCACTTCAGGCCACAATATTATTGGAAGTGAAGTGGCTGAGACTTATTCGAACAAAGGAGGCAAGGGAGACGTCAGCGTTAGCAGTTTAGTTCAGCTGTTTTCATTCTTGACACCAAAGCAGACGATTTCAGCGGTTTCCGCTCTTGGCACGAACGTTTACGAATTTTCAAGTGGCTCGATCAAATGCGAAGGGAAACGCCTCAATTTTAACGCACCGGTAAACATTTTGCAAACATGTTATGATTAAAGAAGCCAAACGCGTATTTTATAGGCAACTAAAGATACAACCACTTGACTACATTTATTGGTTTTTACTTTCCGAGGAAGTAAGGTTTAACACCCTTTTCCTAATTTTCACATCTCAGCAGCCAGGCGGCGCCAATCTTTGCTGCACACTTTGATAGGCAGTAGCTCATTCTTCTCTCTTTCGCGTCTTTTTCGTTTCGTAGTATCAGCTCTACTATTTGCGAGTCCAAATGTCGATAGGTAGTGCCATCGGATTTTCAAAATGGCGGATATAGTGAGGGTCGGGGATGCGTTATGACAACCTGTAGCTGAGCCTGTATGGTGTGCTGGCTTTACCGAAATACTCAAATTATTTTCGCTTTTACGAGGAAGCGTAAAAATGTCACCCCTTACTCTCCCCTATTACGTAAAAATGTCACCCCTTACTCTCCCCTCCTCCCCCCCCCCCTTAAAAAAAAACAAACGAAAAAGTGTTTATGAATACACGAACGCCGCGAAGTGAAGAGCGAAACCAATTAAACTAACTTCTATTTTAGATTTAAGATCTCGGTATTGATGCCAATTTCGGTTTCACTCTTAACTGAAATGTTTGTGGCAACGTAATAAATTAACAAAATAAAATCGTTCAGGAAATTGTTGCTTGTTCGTAACACACGAAACAGCATAAATAGGAGTTATATTTAGGGGCTTAAAATGTTTTTTTTTTTAATAGTTATTAGCTATCTCGTAAAGAGAGAATAAACTTTGAAACATTTCATGCACCTGAAAGGGAACATAAAAAATAAAAAAAAAATTGTTTAAAAAATCGGCGCTGAATATATTAAATATTTTATTGTTCTTGGTTGTTTTCTTTTATTAAGATTATTTTCATTAAAATAATTAACTTCGTGCACTTTATACTTAGTTTCTTTATCTTTTGGCGATTTCTTGCTTATGCCTTTTTCCAAGAAAAGAACAACAAAAGCAATCTAGAATATGCAAAATATAGTCACGGTTTACTAGTTTATAATGCTGTTACGAAACCATTAAATTAAGAAACGTTTTTACTATAAGATTCCCAAAACAAAACCAGAAAAACAACAAACTTATACTTTTTAAGGCAACGCGCGACACATATAGAACTGTATATCACATTATTTTTTATGATTATCTAGGTAACTATCTCACATTCTTTTGAACTACTAAAAAAAAGATACTTTTCTGTAAAAAATATAAAGGCTAAATTATATTTTTTTTGTTATTGTGGCGTTTATTGGGAACTTTGTAAAAATTTATTGATAATAATAAAATTCAGGTATCTCAATGCTTAGTTTTTCAAGCCTTAATATTACATCTTACAATTTCCAATGCTCGAACGGCTACGATAATATAAAGTTGGCAAATTATTACTAATTAATTATCAATTACTTATTATTAATTTATTTGACAAATTATTATCAAATTATCAGTACGAAGTGCGACATTTTGTTTTTACAATTTATGAAATAAAAGCGGTAGAAAATTAATGAGAGCACACTATCTAGTACAACGAAGTCACGCATTACTGACAATAATTATGGATAAAAAATTTTGGGTTTCTATCCAAGTGTCGACCTTTGACGATAGGCAAAACTTTAAAAATTTCCTTCAATCCTTCCGGGTAAACGCCCTGAAAAAGAAATAGCGGGTTGCGTTTGTTTTCTTTAAAACAACATTTACCAACATATGTTTAAAAAAAGTTTAAACTCCGAAGGTCTGGATCGATTTTAGTCTTTCCTGTTCGAAGACACGCCTACACGCCTGCACCTCTCTTGACTGCGTCCCGTATCATTAGCATTGGGAAAACAGGTGAAACAGGAAGGCTCAATTTCACATACGGGCTGCAGCAACACATTTGGTCCATGAATAGCGTCGTTTGCAGAGTCGTTTGCATTCATAAATTCCTGTAGGCGAGCTATGATCACGAGCTTTCCCACCGTGCCTGCTCAGAGGGTGAACCGAGGGCCGTCGCTGTAAACAGCTTCCCATTCCCGCCGCGAGAGGGCGAGGC